TGAGTGATCTCTCGATTCTATGTTTATATCGACTTCCAAATGCTTAGTTTACGTGGAATGTTACGACACGTGTATTCAGACTTTTTATTTTTATTTTTAATATTTGCTCGGTTGTGTAGTCTATATAGTCGTTATATATTTTTATTGTTTTGTTTTTGATGTTTGGTTTTATGATCTATTTTTTTTTATTGATGTTGATCTTATCATTGATTTTTGTATTGCTGTTATCATCATCATCATCTTCATCATAATATAAATAATCATCATCATCATAATATAAATAATCATCATTACCATCATAATATAAATAATCATCAATAATTATCATCATCTTCATCACCAACATTTTCATCGGTGTGATATTCATTACCCATTCGTGACAGTGACAGGCTCACTGTGAGTTTACTTGTTTAATTGTTTTCACACATAGATGGCTACACTTGTACTTGTACTGCCTGCCTCGCCTGTTTACCCTCTTCTTTAATTTACGAAATTATTTTGCGTTATCTTATTTTGTTGTTACTAATGTTTATAACATTATAGCAATTATAATGTTTATAATATAAATAACCATCGATATTTGTAACACTAGTAAAAATACATTTTCCCGCCAATTCAAGAAAAGGTAAAATCAGGTAAGGCAGAGCTATCTAGTGTAGAGAAATTCCTTAAAAAATGAACACAGCATTTTCCCCATTTTTTGTTCATTTTTACCCGGCGCGAATGGGTTAACCATTAATACTGAGGATAAAGGACGCCATTTTTTAAAACTGTTAAACATCCTCCCCTCCCGCTTTATCCTTAGAAAAATACAAATAAGCAAATGAATAGATTTACATGTACACACAAACAAAGACATACATCACAATGATTATAGAGTAGAACCGACTTTTTTCTAATTCAATTAAAAATAACCGTTTGCGGAAGTGAAAAGAGGTCATGATTTTTTTTTTTTTTTTGTATAGAACTGAATATAATCCACGTTTCTATTTTTTTATTGTGATTACCAAGAAAAGGGAACACACCTGTTTCAAAGTTCTGTTCATACACACAAGAAACATTAAAAGTATATATTTTATTTTCACCATGCTACGCAATTCATTATGATCTTTTATCATGTTTCCTCCAGTAAATCAATTTCAAAAATCTACTTCACAATTACTTCTCAATAGATAACATGCATATTGGGTCTTTCTTACTACTTTCAATATCAATAAAGAAAAGTGTGATAACATATTTTTACACAAATAGGATTAACGGCAAAAACACAAACGCAGTACTCTCTGCGGAAAGGTAATGACGTCTTCCCCAGAAACCTTACACAGATCAATACATTATGAATTAAAGCGCATGCATTAAAGTTGGATAATGGAACTTAAAGCCTGTATCTTGGCGTCATATAATATTCTCTAGTTTAAAGCGTGTCATTGTATCATCTAGGACAGGATGGTCCACTACGAGCCCACGACGCCGCGTGATTGTCTGTGGCCCCGACTTGTTATCCGTCGGAGTCTTTATGTTATTCTTTATTTATTGTGTGCAGGCCTTGCATAGAACCTTTGTAGCACCTAAATATTAAACTATATATATATATATATATATATATATATATATATATATATATATATATATATTAGTGGATCTCCATGTAACCGTGGTGGTCCACAATGGCCCAAGATGTCAAAGAAGTTGGAGCACCCTGATCTAGGAAATCGAGAATATTATCTATAGAGGGTGGTCAAAGGGACATGTTTATTGTTTAATTTGATTACCATTCGTAGGTCCAGCCCAGATTTGGAAGCTAAATTCTATTATTTGCAACGATTTCTGAAGGAAATGGGCTTTTGAAATTAATAGTATGGGAAAAAAGGCGAAACAAATGATAGGTGAGTTTGTACGAATAGCACTGTCCATGAACTGGAAAATAAAATACACACATACGCATATATATACATATATATATATATGTGTGTGTGTGTGTGTGTGTGTGTGTGTGTGTGTGTGTGTGTGTGTGTGTGTGTGTGTGTGTGTCGCTACTGAACAACAATAGTATTTTTCTTCCCCAATACAATTGTCGCGAGAGGATGTAATATCAGGTATAAACAAAGATATGCAATCATTACATATCCAAAATAATAAAACGTGAAACTAGAAGGCACCAAAACACGCAGTAAAAAGTATATATCTTAATCAGATAGATAAGATTATCCACAAAAGTTATATATGGCTGATTAGAGGGAAGCGCATGGCAGTTAACAACAGTTTATATGGACATACGAGGACACACATAGAAGCACGTTCATCACGCACGCACAGAGACTCACACAGACACATTCACACAGCACACCTGCCTATAAACAGGGTAGCGTCATAAAAATTCCCTCGTTCCCTGCAAAGCTACATTATCTCACGTACATAAAACAGATACATACAAGTATAACGATGCCGACCAATGCATTGTAGTTCATCCTACAGTTATCATCGAAAATTCATCTTAACTAGCCAACAATCATTAACGTATCTTAAAATGGATATACAAACGGAAAATAGCTAGTTTAGGAGTATGCATGTACATATGTTCCAGTATTAGCTGGGGAAATTACACCTAGGCATTACACTTTCTCCATTACAAATCTACACCTTCTGTAAGGGTTATAAAAAAACAGGGCTCCCCAAATAGGCATAGCCCGGGCGAGGCTCTGCTTCGCGAATCTTAAAAAAAAAGAAAGAAAGAAAAAAAAAGGGTTATATAAACACCTCTTAAACATTGGTGACAGGGAAGTAAAAAAGCTTAGTGGCTAAAAACTCTTTTATTGATAGAGCTAGCACACAGAGAATAAACACAAGATATGACGCTTGGGTTATGGCTGGTCACTTGGGGTCACCGGCCAGCCCACCTCCACGTTGACCGGCCCAGCGGGCTGCTGTGACCTCTTGACCTCGCCAGTCACACTCTCGTCTAACAGGGCCATCCTTGGAGAATAAGTAGCGGTGATTGGAAGCCAGGGGCGGAGCTACAGAGGCGTGGCTAAAGAAACTGCCAATGCCCGACCTTCGCGTGGGCGTGGCCTCCCTATTTCCTGCCCAGGGCGTGGCTCCCTGCAGCGGGCCCCAAGGGCCTGGAGACGGCTGCCCTGCCCCTGGGGGGGTAGCCCTTCTGGGGAGGTCAAGTCAGGTCAGGTCAGGCCAGCTGGGGAGAGGTCAGGTCCAGATGTTGAATCTCACACCTTTTATCATCTTCAGACATAGCGAATTACCTAACTACCCGCCTTGTTAGCCCTTAACCCCCAACTCTCTTTCAGCCCTGGCCTGCCCTTAATTTCCGTTCAGATATCCCTTGGCCCGAACAGAAGCATTGTTTTCGAATCTCGCTCAACCGCAGCGAACATGCCTTCGTTTTGATATATGTTATACCCTAATGGTCTACATTTTGAGAGCTCATAATTTGCTCATTAATATACTTATGAATATATATAGGTTTTTTGAAAGAAGCAAACATTCATCTTAGTCTACAAAAGTAGTTCTTGAGGGAGTTACTGAAGGGTTCAGTGTAAAAGGCATATAACGATTTACAACAATACTTGTTTAACTAGGACGGCAGATCTTTTGAAAACGTCGGACCCGCTTTAAAGGAGGAGGAGGATAATGATGGTGATAAATGATGATTATGATGATGTGAGGATTATAATGATTATAATGATAATGATAATGGTACTAACAACTACAATAATGACGACATCAATAATAACGATAATGGTAATAGTAAAGAATAAATTAATGCTAAAAAGGCTCATAAGACTGAAATTCGAAAACCTCTTTACCTAACTATTAATGAAAGACGAGAACCACACTACGATGTTCTCAATAAATACCTTTTTTCTGGTAAAATTTCCGAACCCTCAGTCACTTTGATACACTGTGCTACACGTTTGCCCTTTACGCGTACATTATTGGAACCTGTTGAAACGCCATTTTTGTTTGTATCAAAGTGTATGCCTTCCTCTTGATACACTTCGACCAGTAATCAGAGCTCATTATTTCTTTATTTCATTATTTTTAAATATATTTCACGTCTCCAACAATCTAATTAATCACGAATCACATCGTAACTCTTTATTATAGGTACATAAGATATTTCTGTGTCTTTTTAGCAGTACATCAAATACATGTTCACACTATATGGGTAAAATTTGAAATCAGTCATGGAATCACGTGGTAAGAGTTTCCGTGTCCGAGACGTGGCATTGACTTCGGGATTAATGCCTTCAAAATCATTCTGCAGATCTGTGGTACAACTTTACAGGCTCTAAAAACATCAAAGAAAATGCTGTGCATATTAATTTGTTGATTCAATTCAATCAATCAATCAAGAAAATGTCTTGTGTTTCCTGGAATTACCCTTATGCAACTTCCATTTCTGATATGAAGCACAAGCGAAGAGTGGCTTGTATAAACAACATATGTTGCAGAGCAGTATGGTGTATGCGCGCGCGTCCAAGTGTGTAGATGGAAATAGAGATTGAACCAACAGATAACAAATGCGAAAACAAAATGTTAGAGTGCAAGAGATAACCCCAATAATCTTTGACACCTGTGCTGTTTTTATGGATACTGTTGAACATTGTAAACAGATTTATCACTTTTGTCAGTCAAAAAAAAAAAAAAGAAAGAAAGAAAGAGAGAAAGAAAGAAAAAATACACACACACACACAATTCTGTTTCGTTGCTACAAAACAGTCATGAGCAAGGTCGGTCATCTATGATCAAATCAAAAAATATTACAGGCCGGCTGAAATCGAACAAGCCCATAACATTGTAATCAGTTTGTCCGATTCTAGAAAACCCAGGAACACAACACGGGACACTAAGCGGATGATAATTATCCTGCACACTGTGACTGATCAATGTGTCGGTAATGAAAACATAATGTTCGCAACAACTACAACAGACACTCCCCCAACAGACTGAGAAAGAAATCAGGTTTTTAAACTCCACTAAGA